TTCTGAGGAAGGGTCACTGGACCGAAACGTTAACTCTGTTTTCTCCTCCACAGATGCTGCCAGACCTGCTGAGCTTTTCCAGCAACTTTGTTTTTGTTCCTGATTTACAGCATCCGCAGTTCTTTTGGTTTTTATTTATGCAGAAGGAATTAAATATACTTTGGGTAGTGGCAAACAGATGAACCACAATGTTGAGAAATGCAATGTGGGACAAAACTCCATCAGGGACTATAACAAATGCAAACAGACATGTAAGATGAAGTAGTCTTGGTGTCCTTATTAAAAATAAATTGAAGCTAATGCAGTAAAGATAGTAAATCAGAAGTCGGGATGTATTGAATGTTGAACATTGAATCCAGATAGATATCCTGCTACTTCAAACATCGTTGCAGCAACTGAATTTAGAACACTGCACACAGTACTGATTGCCAAAATGCAAAAAGAGGATATTGCAGCAATTGAACGGTACAGACATGGCCACTAATTTGACTGAAGGAATGAAAGAATTGGATTATGAGAAATGGTTATATAAATTGTACGTGTTCCAACTGAAATAGAGAAGGTTGAGAGGTGATAGAATTTTTGTTTTTGAGGTTTAGGAAGTAAACACAGATCTGGCTGTGTTCAAAATACCTACCACCTACCATTTTCTCTACACAATATTGAACCTTAAAGGAATTTACTGTTGTTAAAGCACATTGAAACATTTCCAAAATTCATGATTAGGTAATACTGAAACATAAAAAGGATTGAGCGATTTTTACTGAATACTTTCAGATGCTTAAGAGCCTTCAAGATAATCAAGTGGGCTCTGATGCTGAAATGTCAATTCAGACCATTTAATCAAAGTTGCCAATGAAGTTGAAACTGGCATTATGAGGGGCTATTCAGAGGTTATTAATTAACTGATTGCTAACAGGCATTTTAAGAGGTATTGATTAAAGAGGTCTTTATGATCTTGGTAGCAAGCACTTCAATTCAATTGCCCTTTACTAACAGGGGGGAAACACTGCACTGACGTCAATTTCGAGAAGATTTAAACTGTTACTCACTATTTCACATTCATTACTTTGGAGTTATTAAGAGAATCTCAAACATATTGAGACATTTTCTGGGACATTTTTTGTCATGATTTCATCACAGGTAAACATTTATTTTGGAAATTCTGAAGATTTCACCTAGAAAGTGATTGCTGTGCTAATCCACCTTATTGGACTTATCCGACTCAACAGGAGAAAAGGAGTGTTTGAACACTGGCATCTTGCCGGGAATTCCCCTTGTTTTGGAATAGGAATGGAAGGAGGAAATGAGGTCAGACACAGCAGCACCAACTATCTTGGGAGACAGCAACTGGAGAGCAAGATGGCATCCTTCCTTCAACATCATCATCCCCCAAGCAATGTAGGTCAGGACAAGCCTTCTACACCATACCTCCTCCATCAGGACCCTCCACTGCCACATCTGAGAACCTATGCACCTTTTCCCCTCATCCCCGAGCCATTCTGCACCATGTTACTGTGTCAGCAAAGCAGACATTGGGGAGAGAGTCAACGAATGTATATATCACTGTGCAGAAACTGTCTCTAACCAGCTCGGATCCTATACGTGCAGATTTCTGGTTCAGCATCTTTAGACGGATGAAAACTATGGTAAATTGGCCATTAGAATCAACTTTCCCTCTAAGCTGAGCAGGCATGCAGTAGTGTGGAATGGACTGTACTTAGAATAAACAGGCTACACATAGCATTCTTTTTAAGATGCAAATAAAGTTGGTTGCACATCATCATAAATGGACCACACAGCATAACACATCATGTACAGCAAACAGAGGTTAGAGGGGACATTGATTAGGATTAAAATTTTGAACGAAAAAAGTTAGCTTTTTATTCAGCATTGCCACTACTTAGGGATTGCTTTCACCCTTTGGTGAAAAATCTTCCCGATTGATTACAGCCTTTTATATATTTTACTGTATTGCAGTAGCAACCAGGGTTTCAGGACTAGTTCACTGATCGTGAAGCACTTTTTGACGTCAAGCAGTTGTGAAAGGCACTATTTAAATTCATGCTGTTCATTTAACACAACCAAGTTCAATCATTTTGAATTTAAAGATGTATGGGTAATTAATAGATTGACTGCAAGCTTTTCTGCAGTCAGACAATCATGGGTCACACTCCATCATTCACCATTATATCATGAATTTAAATCATAAAAGTATCACAAAACATGGCAGCACTTTCAACTCTGTGGAATAAAACCTGTTTGTGCCAGAGAATGGACTGGGTTACAGCACAGTGATGGGACAAACCCTGAATCTTATAGAAAGGCTAACAGCATAAATTAACAACATATATCCAGCTTATTACCTGTTTGTGATAAAAGCCAGTGCTGTTATCCCGGAAGAACCCTCTTCGTTACTGCAGCGCAGAGTTCCATCTGCAGCATCCCACACCTGAAACGAGACAGATTCATTTTAAAATGTAAGGTAAGTCATGGTATAAACAATAGGTCCTTTTAATTTTTAGAAGAGAGGTCCCCTTTTTTAAACTCTTTAGTTTTCTCTAATCTTCCTGGAAGTACTGATTCATGTTGGGCATTGGGTTTAATGGACATTGGACCTTTTACCTCAGCTAAATGTTCACTTTAAATTTTAGGCTGAGTCAATAAGCATAAGTTGAATGCCCATTTAAGAGTACTGCAGATAAGATGAAGTCTATTCTCCCCGACATTCACATAAGCATATTCTGTAGAAGTTACTGAGCAGTAATACACTCTAACCAACCTTCCTCTCCTTAGCTTTCAAGTGCTAAAGCTGTATCATTCTGATTGCTACTCCAACTGAAACTAGCAGGCTCAGTACAATAACAGGGATAGAGAAGTTTATATTTTGCATATCTCAATTTGATGATGGGTGGGACACTTAGCACTTTTTTGCGTAGCTAAGTACAATGTAGATCACATTAGCTGGCAGGGTTTCTTTTTAATCTATTCATGGTATGTGGCCATCACTGGCTGGGCCAGCATTTACTGCCCTTGAGAAGATGGCAGGGAGCTACCTTCTTGAACCAATGGACTCTACATAGTCTGAGTACACTCACAGAGCTGTCAGGGAGAGAACTCCAGGACTTTGACCCAGAACAGTGAAGGAATAGCGATATACTTCTATGTCAGGATGACGTACAGCTTGGAGCAAATCTTGCAGGTGGTAGTATTCCCATTTATCCGCTGCCTTTGTTTTTCTTGGCAGTAGGGATACTGGGTTTGAAAGGCATTGTCTATATAGCTTTTCAGTGTATTTTGTATACGGTAAACACTGCTGGTCCAATGAGTTAGTACAGGAAGGAATGAAGGAGTTAGTTGAGGCGCCAATCAAGTAGGCTTCTTTGTCCTGGACGATGTCAAGCTGCTTGAGTGTTGGAGCTGCACTCATCCAGGGAAGTGAACAGAATTTCATTGCAATCCTGACTTGTGCGTTGCAGATAATGGACACCTTTGAGGCTTTGAGGAGTCAGCAAACGAGTTACTCACCACAAGATTCTCAGTCTCTAACCAGCTCTTGCAGTCACAATATTTATATGGCTAGACCAGTTCAATTTCAGGACAATAATAACTCACCTGATTTTTGATTGTAGGGAATTCAGTTATGGTAACAATTGAATATCTATAGATTCTCTCTTGTTGAAATTGTTCACTGTCTGGCATTTGAACAACACGAAGAATACTGGTTTCTTATTAGCCCAAGCCTAAACGCTGCCCAGTTCTCACTTCATTTAGACATGTGCAGCTTCGGTATCTGAAGAGTCATTAATGATGCTTAGCATCATGCAATCATAAGTCAACATACCCACTTCTGATTTTATGATGGTGGGGGGGCAGCGGTGGGGATGTGGGGGGAATGACAATGATGAAGCAGGTGAAGATGATTGGGCCCAGATTAATAACCTGAGGAACTCCTGCAGTTTCCCCAGATTATCATTTATTCCTGTTTTGTTAGGGTGTCTTGATGCCATGTGTGGTCAAGTTTTGTTTTGATGTCAAGGGCAACTACCCTCACTTTCCCTCTTGAATTCAGCTCTTTTGTTTATGTTTTGACCAAGAACTTAATGAGTTCAGGTGCTGAGTCCACCTTGCAGAACCCATCAGAGGATCAGAGATTAGGTTATTGTTGAACTAGTGCTGCTTGATAGCACCTTCCATTACTTTGCTGCTGATAGTGAATAAAATAGTAGGGTGGCAATTGACAGGTTGGATTTGTGCAACAGGACATACCTCGGCAATAAACCACTTTGCTGGTAGATGCTAGTATCATAGCTATACTGGAACAGTGTAGTTAGGTCTGAAGCACAAGTCTTCAGTAATTTTGCCAGAATGTTGTCAAAACCCAGAGCCTTTGCAGCACCCAGTGCCTTCAGTCATTTTTTGACATAACAGAGGGAGTCAAAGGCCAAGATGGATCATCAACTCAGCGCATGGTTGAAGATTGCTGAAATGCTCCTTTTCTACTAATATGTTTCCCAATCATTGAAGATGGGAATATTGAAAGAAGCTCTACCCCCAGCGAGTTGTTTAATTGTCCACTACCATTCATCATAGTTTGTGGCAGGATTTAAAAGCTGATATCTGATTGGTTTGTCTCTGTCTACTTGTCAAAACCTACAGTCTTAAAGCCGAATCAAATCAGCCTTCCTACCTCTATTAGCAACACAGTAAAATTAAAACCTCCAAAGCCTCTCAAAATTTACCCTAACATTCATAGCCCGACTTTTTCAATAACCAATCCCAGACTTAATCATCAATTCTAGATACTGGGTTTGTAGTTTAAACAAAAGCCAACTATTTATTAATAATGCAGTAGCTTTACTACAGTAAAATTAAACAACAAAGTCGTTAACTAAAATTTATGAGTAAATCCAATAATCTTTGTTTTCAAGAGATAACAAGGTGTAGAGCTGGATGAACACAGCAGGCCAAGCAGTATCACAGGAGCAGGAAGGCTGACGTTTCGGGCCTAATCATCCAGCTCTACATTTTGTTATCTCAGATTTTCCAGCATCTGCAGTTCCTACTATCTCTGATACAATTTTAACCACACTGCGAAGCCTCTTCTAAGGATGCCTACCCTGAAGAAGTTACCCTCCTCCCTCCAGACAAACCTGGCCTGCTGTGTTCATCCAGCTCTACACCTTGTTATCTCAGATTTTCCAGCATCTGCAGTTCCTACTATCTCTGATACAATTTTAACCCCACCTTTGTTTTCAATCCCATTTATACAGAACACAGACAGACAAACACACACAGTTAAGGGATAAAATAAAATAATAAAACTGGCCAGATTACTTAAGCTATTTCATGATGCTTTGTTCAACAGGCATCTATGATTGTTTCTTGGTCGATTTTCTGAAGAGATTGATCAGGGCCAGCTTTTCTGTTCAGTCTGAGGAATTTTCAGCAATACTTATAAATTAGTTACTATTCTCTGAATTTTTAATGGTTGATAATGGGAAGTTAGGCAGGGAGCTTTCAAATATTCATGCTGTAGCATCAACAGCCAAACTCCTCCTCCAAAAACCAGTTCAAACCTGCCAGCCTCTGCCTCTGTTTGACCATCGTGTTCTGTCGCAGACTTGCTGTCACCACTTCCCAGGTACTGACCTTATCTATGGCCAAACATCTGTCTGGTTAGACATAGTGCTTTCCCTGATACTGAAGTGCCAATGGAGCACTCTGATATAGAATCAACCTGCAATTAACTTCCAGGTCTGGCCTCACAAACAATGGCTTGTTTGTCCCTTTCTTAACAAAAAACATAAGCTGCTGTCCAGTCCAATCATCATCTTCAGCTCTCAGTTCACAGTCCCAAATAAAAATTGATAAAAGAATAAGATGATGAAAAATCTGTGAGGGTTCTAACACTACCACATGATGCTTACACAGTTTGGCATGCAAGTTGTCCTGTTTTGTGGCATCAAGTTGACACCTCATTTTTAAGTATGCGTGGTGCTGTTCCTGGCATGCTCTTCTGCACCCATCACTGAAACTGGATTCATTCCCTGATTTGTTCTAATGGTAGAGTGGCAGGCATATGCAGGCCATGAGATCACAGATTGTGACTGAATACAATTCCACAGAGCCACATGGCTGCGTAGTCTTCAGCTGCTAGATCTGTTTGAAATCTATCCCTTTCAGCACAGGGGTAGTGCCACTCAACACAATGGAGGACATCCTCAATGTAAAGACGGGACTTCATCTCCACGGGACTGTGCGGTGGTCACTCCTACCAATCCTGTCATGAATACATGTACCTGTGACAGGCAGAATGGAGCGGCTGATGTCAAGTCAATGTTTTTCTCTCAACAGTTTCCTCACCAATTGCCGCAACTGTCTCTGGCAACTATGTTCTTTAAGACTCAGCTAGCTATGTCAGTAGTGCTACTATGCAACTTGATGATGGACATTAAAGCCCTTCACCCAGAGCACATTCTACACTCTTGTACTCTCACTACATCCTCCAAATGCTGTTCAACATGAAAGAGTACTGCCTCTTCAGCTGAGTGGGTGGTAAGCAGTAGGTGCTTAATCTGGTGCCTTGAGAGTTCATGGGCTCTGGAGTCACTACTGAGGACTCGCAGAGCAACTCCCTTCTGATAGTACACCACTGTATTGCCACATCAGGGATGGTGATGGAGATGTAAAGACATTTTATGACAGGATGATTCTACAAGAACAACTGTTAGGCTGTTGCTCGACTTCTCTATAAGACAAGTCTCCCAGTTTTTGCACAAGGCCCCAGTTGTTAGAGCTTCCTGTGCTGCTGTCATTTCCAGTACTTTGGTTGATGTGAGGTGATCCATTTTATTTCATTCCTTTATCAAACTTTGCAGCAGTTAGATACAACTGACTGTATTTCTATGAAATTTTAGACAGCCAACCACATTGTTGTGGCTCTGCAGTCGCATGTAGGCCACACTAGGTGACGATATCAGATTTTCCTTCCCTGAGAGTCATCAGTGAACCAGATGGGTTTAAATGACAATGATTTTTATGGTCTTTATTACACTGATTTTTTAAAAAAAATTCTAGATTTATTAATTCAATTCACATTTTACCACCTGCTGTGTTAGAATTCAAGCCCATACCCCCAGAACATTAGCCAGTGTCTCTGGATTACTAGTCCAGTGGCAATACCACTAAGCCACTATCTTTCTGATTATATATCAACAAGGTGTCAACTGCATTCAATGCTATTTCAAAGTAAAATCAGCAGTTTCTTTACAGCAATAGGCACTCTGTGCCTGAATTTGTTATATTAAGATTATTATGGATGCTACTGTATAAATTCTCTCTCAACAAAATGTATCAGAAAATGGTAGAATAGAGTTTTGCGATGATTGGTCAGAGTTAACTTGCCAGACAATCAGTTTCCTTTCCGCAGGTTGTAAGAATTGCTGCTTTCCTTGAAATTTGGCATCCTAGCATCTGTCCTGTGTGCAAGGCAGTATGTCTCTTTTTCATCAATACTTCAAGTCCTATACTGTCTAATGGTTATATCTTTTAATAGTTACTTTAAAATACGAACAAGGAAAAATAATGGAATAGATTGTAAGAGAATGTTAATGTTACTTTGCAATTACCTCAAGTTGTCCATTGCTTCTTCCTGCCACAATCAGGTTCCCTTGTATGCCAAGACTCCAGACAGCGCTTTCACAGTCTCCACCCCACATAGGAATGGGGGAGGTTTTCTCAAGCACAGGAAATGGTTCATCCCCTAAACTGCGCCTCCTCTGCATGCAGCTGCCATCCCAACCATGTGACTTGAGGTTCACAGACGTTTGAGAAGATCTCAATAGCGTTGGAGGAGATGGATAACTCCGCAGGTTTTGTGCATTTAGCAGTTTATGATCCTCATATGCTTTATCAAACGCTTTACCAAAGTCAAAGCCAGTGTCCTGCGAATGTTCAGAGATAGTCCGCTGTCTGGGAACTGTACTCTCCTCTTTAATTTGCTCTGCAAAGTTGGTATCTATTAATCCGGATAAATCTGGCTGATCAGTGAACAGAATGGGTTGTGTAGGGGTCATTCTCCTCTGAATGTTGTGCTCACTTTCATATACATCATCTGCTCCATTCTCAGGATCTGATATATACTCCCAACTCTCTTGACGTTCATAGCAACTGCTACTATCCCTCCACTGCCTAAGGATGAACGAAAAAGACCAAGTGAACTGTGAAATATTTTCCAACATAACTGCATTTCTGAATAACAAAGTCTGAACAGACTTTCAATGTAGCATGCAAAAGTCTAACAGAATACTTCTTTAATCTTTAAATTATTTTAATCCCATTCAAAATCATGAGATACAAACATATTTTAATCATTAAATAGTTCAAAACGCATTGTGTGGCAGGTCTTATGGATGAGTTATTTCATAATAGTTAACTTCCATTCTTCTAGTATGTACATTCTGTTGGAAGGAATTCTAAGAGCCATTTTAAGTGTGCCCTCGCCTCTCTATGCTGCAATGTATGACAAATTGACCCCTTAAGACAATTTTCAGAATTCTTCTAGTGTCTCAAGTTAGTAAAAACAGTGAGTGGCCAAACCAAGGGGTCTAATTGCGGATCTCCTTTCTGACTTAGTTGTTTGCGGTTATTGGGTCAGTTTATGCTCAATAACGACAGTTATAATAGTTAATAAAATCTAGAAACTCCCATCAACGTCAAGCGATCTTCATAAGAAATGTGCTCATTTGGAAATTACATAGAATGAATAGGTCAAAGACAAGCCCTTCAGGCCAAATGGTCCATACAGGTGTTTGTGCTCCCAGAACCTCTTCCGTCTGTTGCCATGTAACTGCATTACAAAAATTACTGATTCTTAACTTGCTTCCTCTTGTATTTCAACTCTTCACGGCACAAGCAATTTGATTAGATTAAACCTAACAGCAATATTGCATTACTTTGTAACTCGTTTATCTGTTACAGAAAGTTGAGTTCAGGACTGCTTAAACACAAGAAGATTGAAAGAAAATTGAAGGATATTGTTGAAGGAATCCAATAAAATAACTGAAATGATGTCATGAATAAATATTTTACCCTGGGTTTGGTATGACAGTCAGACAATCACCAGTCTGTGCGTCCCAAACTCTGATCTGTCCTGACAAGCAGCAACTGACCAACAACATCCCATCACTGGCCAAGCATTCAATATCCTAGGAAAGAGAATTAATAAAAATGTATTTCAGAAAATGTTACAATATATGCATGAAATTGTAATGAATTAGCGATGTACAAGATCATGGGCACAGGATTAATTAATACACAGAAAGTTCTTTGATAAGCAAATATTTGAATTTCCTGCCAAACAATGAAGGTTGCTGAGTTTTGTTTCAAGCAGTCACATATCTCTGCAACGTATTTGTCCTGGTGATGATAATGCTTGAACCCATGGTCTGAATGCAGAGGTCTGGTACAGCTAATTTTATTTGATCACACCATTCAGTTGGATTTGTGATGATTTTCAAGATTAATTGTGAACTGCACTTGGAATTCCTCTTTTGCTTTAGAACTGAGACATGATTGTCTTCCAATTGGACTTTTGGACTTTGCTATGTCCTGGTACTAGGTGGCTGTTCATTATCACCCCAATGCATCAATGATCCATCCAATTGGCGTCAATTTCCCACAAGCATCAGGTAATACAGACATCACTTAGATTTTAGACTTAAGCATTTGTTACACACTATACCTAGGGGAATAATGCAAGCAGCAGTGCTGGATCTCAACTGTCTACAATCTACATCAATGACGCTGTCGATGTCACCAAATAAGGTAGGAAGGCAATTTCTCAAGAGGAGGTGAAGTCAGTAACAAAAATTTGGTAAGTTAACTTTAACATAGGATAATATGAATACAACGACTACAGCAGAAGTTCAGGAAAGCAATATACCATTAAAATGGAGTGTGATTGCTGAACTCAGTAATACATTGGGATCTTTGGGTCCTGGTACATAAATCACAAAGAACAATTATGCGGATTCAGGAAGAGATGAGGAACGATTATTACAAAAGGGAATGAAATATAAAAATCAGGAACTTTTAGTGAAGCTCTGCAGGGCATTGGTGAGATCACATTCCTGCGTACAGTTTTGGTCTCTATTTAAGAAAAGGATATAACTGCATTTAAATTGGATGAGAAGGTTCACCAGTCTCATTCCCGGGATGAATGCCTCATCTTACAAGAAAAGGTTGAACCGGTTGGATCCATACCCATTGGAGATGGGCACGCTACAGGGAGGTAATGGCCTAGTGGTATTATCGCTGGACTGTTAATCCAGAGACCCAGGTAATGTTCTGGCGACCCGGTTTCGAATCCTGCCACAGCAGATGGTGGAACTGAAATAAATATCTGGAATGAAGAGTCTAATGATGACCATGAATTCATTGTCGATTCTTCGAAAAACCATCTGGTTCACTAATATCCTTTACGGAAGGAAACTGCCACCCTTACCTGTTCTAGCCTGCATGTGACACTAGATCCACAACAATGTAGTTGACTCTTAACTGCCCTCTGGCAATAAATGCTGGCATAGCCACCGACGCCATCATCCCATGAATGAATAAAAAAAATTAGCATCTAGAAAACTAATCTTATTTAAGCATGTAAGAGCCTGAGTGGATTTAGTGAGTGGACATAAGGAGGGTGTTTCTTTTGTGGGATAGACTAGAGGAAGGGACACAGTTTTGAAGATTAACAGGTCTCTCTTTTAAGAGCAAGATGAGGAAAGATTCTCCATCTAAGGATCTTTTGTCTGTACAATTGTCTTTTCCAGAAACCAATGGAGGATGGGTCATTGAATTTATTCGAGGTTGAGTTAAATAGACTTTGAACAAGGGAGTAAAAAGCTATGGGGATAGATAAGAAAGTGGATTTCAGACCACAACCAAATCAGTGATGATATTATTGAAAGATGGAGTAGGCTTAAAGGGTCCATGGTCTGTTGCTGCTCATAAATCCTATGTTCCCATGTTACAAATCCAGGGAGTGCCAGTTGCTTGATTCCAAATACCTCCATGTGGTTTTCATCCTTCTGGTAAAAGTCAGTATTTCTTATATTGAAGCCATACTTAACACTTTGTCAACACGAGGACACCATTTGCAATGGCACTTTCCATTGCACTTTTCCTATGGTTTCTCTACAGAAATCAGAGACACAGCCAACCACAGCATTAAAGTCTCCAAGAATAATGATCTTTTTTACTTCTGAGATGGAATGTGGACCACATGAAGATTATAATAGTACATTTATTTAATATCTTCATTTGAATCAAGGTTTGGGGCATAAATGCTGATGTCAGTGAGAAACAGACTGATACTGAGCTGTAGGTAAAGTGTCATGTGTCTACCATTTAGACAATTGGGGCATATTGGCTGTGCACCCAAGATCCTATTTCTATTGGTAAAACCAACTCAGTGGACTGAGTATTGCCATCATTCTTACCTTTCTATTACAAAGTAAAATCTGTCTGTTTCTTCTGCGGGGAAAGAGGTGTCCGTAGGATACAATCTCAATTTGGAGTCTTGATAGCTCAAGTGATATGACTGTTGTTGTTCTTTACTGACAGTGATGACATTATTTATGAATTGTGCTAAGATTTTAAATTGCAAAACCTGAAGTTCTCTTTCTTTATGTATTCTTTGGAGATTAAATGCTGCTGGATGTGAAATTCTTCAACATCAACTGCCACCATGCCAAAACTAAACCAACCATATAGACATACACAATCAAGTTTGTGGTTGACTAAAGTATCATTACTCACACTGTACCAGACTTGCAAGCCACTTTAACCACCACCAGATTTGGGGCAAATGCTCAGCATGTTTTGCAATGTTTGTAAAGCTTGAAATATTAACTCCTCCACGAATTCTACCAACCTGCTCAGCATTTTCTGTTTTTACTTCAATTTAACAACTCTCATCAGGACTACACCATATAAATTTTCATCACAGAATCTAAAACCCAAGAAACTTACCAAGTGAAATTAGGTCAATGAGTTAAAGTGATATTATTTAAACACTTCACCTCCTTAAAGGACCGATTTAATAATATGAAAAACACTCAAAATAATTTACATTCCAGTACTTTGAAGATGCTCACAGCTTTGCAACTCGGAAGTCATTGAATCAAATTCTGTGAAAGCAAGTTATAAAACTGAATTCATCAAACCTGCTCATTTGTGTGCACTAGAACATAAACTACACAATTTTCCAGACTGTTGTAAAAACTAAATGCTTCATTCATCTCTTTCACGGAGGTGAACTTTCTACCTCTAATTGATCTGGTTTACAAGAATATGTTCCAGGCTAGATTCTTAATGTTCTCTGAACTGGCCTAATAACAAATTTTTGTACAGATCAATTGCTTTTTGTTTAATGTTGGTTAATAAATATAGCTTTGTGTACATTCAGAATAAATAAAAAATGGTAGCAAGGATGAAGCATAAGCAAGATCATAATTGCTCATTATGATATTCAATCTGAAGTACTTGTGAACCATGCAAAAAAAATGAGTGAGTGATTACAAGAGATGTTTTTTTGAAAAAGAGTTTCATGCACTATATTTAAAAATCAGGAATATAATCAATATGTTGGTGCCCCAAAGACTTGAGCTATGGTTTCAATTTTTCAATCTGCATGCATCACTCTCCTACAGATTGAGTTCCAGTCTCAGAAAGGATGCCTAAAACATAGGAAGAAAAAACTAAAGGGACAGTTACTCTTATACTTTTCAGTAATTGAACTAGCAGTGGCATTGATGGAAGCTTAAGAGAGAACATGTTGCCTCTCTCTCAGTCCAAGCTGTTTAATTATACTAATCAGACTTGACTTGAAATAAATTTTAAGTTGACTCATATTGGTTAAATATAAATGTGACTGCTTAGGACAATATTACAATGGTGCTGAATAAATCAGTTTATTTAGACTGCTTTCTAAGACAATGCATAAATTAGTCTGACAAACAAATGGAAAATATAAGGGATAACAAGGTGCAGAGCTGGATGAACACAGCAGGCCAAGCAGCATCAGAGGAGCAGGAAAGCTGACGTTTCGGGCCTAGACCCTTCGTCAGAAAAGGGTCTTTTTTTCTGAAGAAGGGTCTAGGCCCGAAACGTCAGCTTTCCTGCTCCTCTGATGCTGCTTGGCCTGCTGTGTTCATCCAGCTCTGCACCTTGTTATCGCAGATTCTCCAGCATCTGCAGTTCCTACTATCTCGGAAAATATAAGGCGGTATCTTATCATGATACTGGTTTTCTAGTGTAGATTATTATTAGGCTGGCCAGGTCAAAACAAATATACAGTATTGTAATCTTGCCAGTTGTAAATATGAACAAATCAGCCCTTCAAGAACCCACTTAAAATTTAGACAATTCTCACAAACATATCAATGTGCTTCACTGATGACATGATACCACGAAGTGAAACAACTACTATTACTTAAATCAAGCTTTCCTAATTGAAGAAAATTTTCAATACTTGACAAGTGAGCAGGACCCACAATATAAAAGAACATCCAGATTTCCAAATATTCACTTACCATTAAGTGTCCCTTTAAAATCAATGGTAAGGTTTCACTGACAGGGGGTGAGTAGCCATAATCATCACAAGGTAAGTCCCCACGTCGCCTTCTCCCATAAGACAGACCACCCTGGCCATACGTCTTTGGACAGAACACCTTATACAAGCAGAACAGCAGAATTACGAGGAGGACTCCTGATGCCAATCCAAGAGCTCCAACTCTGCAAGAAAGAAGCAAAGTTTATAATTATAAAGAAATGTGATTTCATGGCCAATATTAACCATTACTCGAAAAACAACATTATTCTTGAAATAATCTGCTTTGCCAATCGCAGCTGTATGACTTTTGTAAAGAAGAAAAAATTTCCAAAATGGAAAATCTTCCTATTAGATCAAGTAATGCCTGACCTCAGCCTTCAGCTAGGAAGCATAAGGCACTATGGGACATGTCCTTGGAAATAGACAGTTCAGCAGAGGAGCTAATTTATGACAAGCCACAAGAAGGAATGATGCTGACGAGGATAATAGTCTTCATCTCTAGCTTGCAGAACACTCATTTTAAGGAGCCTAACATGGCACTAGATTCCTCCTATAAACATCGCTTACTCAGGATAGGCAAGGTTGTATTTTAGAAGGACAAGATCAAACAGACCAAAAGCCACTCTTCAAAACATCATATCCATATTAAATTGCAAAGGAGCAAAAGCTACAAATTTCACTCATGATAGAGTATAAAATCTTGTAAATTATAATAACTATAAGAAAATGCTAGGTTACTGAAGGGAGTAATTATTGTCACTCTGCCAAAATCTTGCAATCTGCCACTGATGTGGGAGCGCTGCCAGAGCAGCAGAGAATTGCAAACTCTAAAACCCACTGAATAATCCTTCCTCAGCTTTAACAAGGCTCTTATACTGTATCCGCTGCTCCCGATGTGGCCTCCTCTACATCGGGGAAACCAAGCAGAGGCTTGGAGACCGCTTTGTGGAACACTTACGCTCGGTTCGCGACTCCCAGTCGCGAACCACTTCAACTCCCCCTCCCACTCCTTGGACAACATGTCCATCCTGGGCCTCCTGCAGTGCCACAACGATGCCACCCGAAGGTTGCAGGAACAGCACCTCATATTTCGCTTGGGAACCCTGCAGCCCAGTGGTATCAATGTGGACTTCACAAGCTTCAAAATCTACCCCCACCCCCCGCGGACCGCATCCCAAAACCAGCCCAGCTCATCCCCACCTCCCTAACCTGTCCGTCCTTTCTCCCACCTATCCACTCCTCCCACCTCAACCCCCACCCCCACCTCCTACCTACCAGCCTCATCCCCGCCTCTTCGACCTGTCCATCTTCCCTGGACTGACCAACCCCCACCCTAACTCCCCGCCTCCTTGACCTGTCCGTCTCCGCTCCACCTATCTGCTCCTTTATCCAAGTTCCATCCGCCTCCCCCCTCTCTCTATTTATTTCAGAATCCCCTTCCCCTCTCCCATTTCTGAAGAAGGGTCCAGACCCGAAACATCAGCTTTTCTGCTGCTCTGATGCTGCTTGGTCTGCTGTGTTCATCCAGCTCTACACCTTGTTATCTCTTGATGAGCATAACTGGCCATCAGCCTCATGGGGACAAGCAGCATTGTTGGCCCCAAACCAGGTTCAAGCAAAATTGCTGATGCTGAGACTTTTTTTTTTTAAAATTTATTAACAGGATGAGGACTTCGCTGGCTAGGCAGCATTTATTGTCCATCCCTAATTGCCCAGAGGGCAGTTCAGAGTCAACCACATTGCTGTGGGTCTGGAGTCACATGTAGGCCAGACTAGGGAAGGTAGGGTTCACGAACTGACTTGCCAGCTGGTCCCAGTATTGTTATGAACTCTGTGGAAACAATAAACTAAAATGTAAACTTGTTGAACAACCCTAATGAGAAACCAACGAACAATATCTCAGAATATATCCTTTTCTTTTCACAAAGTCCTTCACAATTCTAATTCATAATTTCTGAGAGAAGAAATTCCTGCTCATCTTGGAATTAAATGGGAGACCCCTTATTCTGAAACCCATGCCAGAGTATGACACGTCCCCCAACAATGGCGGATATTGTCTCAGCATCTATTCTGTCAATCCTTTTAGTACATGTTTCAATAAGATCATCGCTCATTCTTCTAAACTCCAAAGACCATTGACCCAACTTGCCCTCTGAAATGGCCTTGGAAGCTTCTGTTCAAGGGCAATTAGGAATGGGCAACAATGTTGGCCTTGCGAGTAATGCTACTTCCCATGAAAGAAATTAACCCCTGTATTCAAAAATACAACCTTGTGAACCATTTCTAAGATGCTTCCAATGCAAGTAAAAAGTCACATGACACCAGGTTATCGTCCAAAAGGTTTATTTGGAATCATGCAAGCTGTCAGCTCTCAGCTTCTTTGTCAGGTGCAACGCTCTGAAAGCTTGTTTGACTCCAAATAAACCTGTTGGACTATACCCTGGCATTGTGTGACTTCTAACTTTGTCCACCCCATTCCAACACCAGCACGTCCACATCCAATGCAAGTATATTAGTACTTAAATAAGACCAAAACAGTAATCTAGGTGTCATCTTACCAATACCTGTACTGGTACAGCGAGACTTCCATACTTGCACATACCATCACCCTTGCAATAAAGGAGAACATTCTACTTGCCTTCCTAATTATGGCATGTTCGAGCATGCTAATGTTTCATCACACGAACTGGGGCAGTGACAGCCTTTTGTACTGCAGCATTCTATGGTCTCTCTCCATTTGGATAATATTGTGCTTCTTATTCTTCATTCCAAAGTGGAAAACATCACAATTTTCTGTTTCACCTACCAAACTTGCTCCTTAACCTCACTTAACCTAAACATATTCTTTTGCAAACTCTTCTGATCCTCCTTGTAACTTGCTTTCCCACCTAAAGTTTTGAACTTCGAAATTCCAGAGAGACATATTGGGCTTGAACTGTTAATTGTTTTCCTTTCCAGAGAAGCTGCCACAACTGCTGGGTTTTTCCAGTATTTGATTCTTTTATCCCCCAGATCTCCAGCACTTTGCTTTCATTCGTGTTCCAACCTACCCTTCTAATGCCAACACATTTAATTATAACACTTAATTCGAACGATTGCATAGACTGTAAATAGTTTGAGGCCCCAGCACTGACAAACTTACAGCACGGAAACCGACACTTCAGTCCAACTTGTCCACGCCGACCAGGTTTCCCAAATTAAATTAGGAAAAACGCAGGCAAATGGGACTATATCCCTCTAAACCTTTCCAATTCATGTAACTATCCAAATATCTTTTAAATGTTGTAACTGTACCTGCATCTACCACTTCCTCGGTCAGTTCATTCCATGTATGCACCACCCTCTACATGGAAAAGTTGCCCCTCAGGTCCCTTTTAAATCTTTACCCCCTCACCTTAAACATATTACCTTCAGTTTTGAGTTTTCCTATCCTAGCAAAAAGACCTTTGCTATTTCACCTTATCTATGCCTCCCATGATTTTATAAACCTCTATAAGGTCAACCTTTGATCTCCTATCTTCAAGGAAAAAAATTCCCAGTCTATCCAGCATCTCCCTATAACTGACACCTACCAGTCTCAGTAACGGCTTTGTTAAGTGATTTCTGCATCCTTTCCAGTTTAATATCATCCTTCCTATACCAGGGCAACCAGAACTATACGCAATACTCAAAGCGGCCTCACCAATGTCTTGTACAGCTGCAACATGACGTCCCAACTCAATGCGCAATAAAGGCAACTCAATAAAGGCAAACATGCCAAATGCCTTCTTCACCACCCTGTCTACCCGTGATGCTACTTTCAAGGAAGTATGCACCTGAACCGCCAGATGTCTCTGTTCAACAATACTCTCCAGAGCCCTACCAATAACTGTGTAAGTCCTGCTCTGGTTGGTCTTACCAAAATGCAACACCTTGCATTTATTTAAATTAAACTCTATCTGCCACTCCTCAGCCCATTGCCCCAGCTGATCAAGATCTCACTGTACTCTTAGATAACCTTCTTTATTGTCCACTACATCACCAATTTTGATGTTATCCATAAACTTAACAGCCATGCTTCCTATATTCTCATCCAAATTGTTTATATAAATGGCAAGCAACAGTGGACCCAGGTTAGATCCCTGTGGAACACCACTGGTCACAGGTCTTCTGGTCCGAAAAACAATCCTCTATCACCACCCAGTCTGCTACCATCAAGATAATTTTGTATTCAATTTGCTAGCTCTCCCTGGATTCCATGTGATCTAACTTTTCTAACCAGTCTACCAAGTGGAACCCTGTTGAACTCTTTGCTAAAGTCCATATAGACAATGTCTATCACTCTGCCCTCATCAATCCTCTTGGTTATATTTTCAAAAGAACTCAAATCAAGTTTGTGAGACACTATTTCCCACACATAAAGCCATGTCAATTATCCCTAATCAGTCCTTGCCTGCCTCTCCAAATCGATTAAATCCTGCTCTCAGAATCCTCTCCATCAACCACTGACATCAGACACACCAGCCTATAGTTCCCTGGCTTTTCCTTGCAGCCTTTCTTAAAATAAAAGCACAACATTAGCCACCGTCCAGTATTGCAGCACCTCAACAATACAAGTATCTCTGCTATGGGCCCTGCAATTTCTTCCCTAGCTTTCCACAATGTCCAAGGATATGCTTGACCAGGTCCTGGGATTTATCTACCTTTATCCATTTTAAGACCTCCAGAACCTCCTCTTCAGTAACGTGAACTGTTTTCAAGACATCATTATTTATTTCCCCAAGTTCCCTAGCTTCCACATCTTTCTCCACCATAAATAGTGACACAAAATATTCATTTAGTATCTCATCCATCACCTGTAGTTCCACACAGAGATGGCCTCATTGATCTTTAAGGGGCCCGATTCTCTCCCTAGTTGCTCTTTTGCCCTTAATGTACTTGTGGAATCTCTCCAGATTCTCCTTAACCCTGTTTTCTAAAGCTATCTCATATTCCCTTTTCATCCTCCTAGTTTCCCTCTAAAGTATGTCCCTACACTCAAGGGATTCATTTGATTCCAGCTGTCGATACCTGACATATTCATCTAGTGTTCCCTGCTCTTACCAGCCTTGCCTTTTCACTCTCACAGGAACATACAGTCTCTGAACTCTCATGATCTCACTTTTGAAAGCCTCCCACTTGTCCATTTACCGGCGAAAAGCCTACCACAATCAACTTTTGAAAATTCCTGTCTAATACCATCAAAATTGGCCTTGCCCCAATTTAGAACTTCAACTTGTGGACCTGGCCTATCCTTTTCCATAACTATTTTAAAACTAATAGGCTAATGGTCAATGGTCCCAAAGTGCTCCTCCAGTAACAGCTCAATCACTTGCCCTACCTTATATCTCAAGAGAAGATCAAGTTTTGCTACTTCTCTAATAGGTACATCTACGTATTGATAAAGTACGTTTTCTTGAATACATTTAAATTCCTCTCCATCCAAGCCCTTAACACTATGGCAGTCCTAGTCTATGTTTGCAAAATTAAAACCCCTACTATTCTCACAGAAATTGGAAATCTCCCTGCATGTTTGCTCCTCAATTTCCTGCTGACTGGTGGGGGTAGCTATGTTAATGTGGCATTCCACTGGTTGTCTGTGAATGCCAAAATGAACTGTAAATCTGACAGTTGGTTTTATGTTATCCAATTATTCATCCACACAAAAAAAAACCCTAACAACATGAGTCTTTGTATGGTGCACCAACATTTTATGATATTTTTATATTCATTTTTGGGATGTTGGTATTGCTGACTAGGCTAGCATTTATTGCCCAACCGCAATGCTCAGAAGGTGGTGGTAAGCTCCCTTTTTCGACCTCTGCACTCATTGAGGTGTAGGGAAACCTACAGAGTCGCTGGGAGGATATTACAGGATTTTGACCCAGCCACAGTGAAAGAACAGCAAGAACTAGATTCCTAGTCAGGATAGTAAGAGGTTTGGAGAACAATTTTCAGGTAGCGGAGATCCCATGCATTTGCTGTCCTTGTTCTTCTAGGTGGTATACATCACAAAAAAAGTGTTTCCAAAGAAGACTTAGTGAGTTAATGCAATACAACTTATGGAGGGTACACACTGCTGCCATTCAGCCTTTGTGGTAACGTGGGTGTAAGTTTAAGGTGGTGGGTGGGCTGACAATCAAGCAGCCTACTTTGTCCTGCATGAGGGCAAGCTTCTTGTCTGTAATTGCAGCTGTACCCATCCTACAGGTAGATAAGGTGGCTCCAAAGGCATTTGGAATATTTGCCAAGGCATAGGATACATAAAATACTAAAACAAGGTGGTTATCCTGGAATTATATAAAATGCTGGTTAGGGCTACAACTGCAGTTTTGGTCACATTACAGGCATGATTGCGTGCAGAGTTTCACCAAGATGCTGCACGGGCTGCAGGGTCTGAAATACGAGGAAAGATTGGTTAGGGACGGGTTCCTTTCCTTGGAGCATCAAAGGTTAGAGCAGATCTAACAAAGATGTATAAAGTGATGAGGGGCATTGATTGGAATGAAACGAAGGCACTTTTCCATTAGTAGAGGTGTCTAAAACTAGGGGACATGGATTTAAGGTAGAGGTAGAAGGCAAAAAGAGGAATATGTTACACTCAGAGGGAACTCACTGCCTGAAAGGATGGTTGAGTCAGAACCTCATAACATTGAGTAATATTTAAATAACCTGCATTGCAATAGCCTCCAGATCCACAGTCCAAAAGCTGGAAAATGGAATTAGGGACACAAGTTTTTCCATGGCAATAGGTCTTACTGATGGTGGACAGGCATTTGTAAGACAGGAAGTGAGTTATGCATCACAGAATTCCCAACCTCTGCCTTGCTACTGTATTTCTGCTATTTATATGGCTGGTTTAATTCAGATTCGGGTTAATGGTAATCCCAAGGATGTTGACAGTGCAGGGTTCAGTGATGATACTGCCATTAAATGTCAAAGGGCATTGCCAGAATCGCTCCTGTTGGAGATAGTTATTGCCTGTCATTTATGTGGTGCAAATGTTACTAACCAGTTTTTAGCCTAAGCCTCGATGTTGTCCAGGTCTAACTGCATAAGGATAAAACTACTTCAGGATCTGCAGTGTTACATACCACAATGCTGACCACTGTACAATCATCAGTGGACATCTCTATTTCTGATTTTGAAATCTTAGGGATGGTCAATGACGAAGCAGCTGAACATGGTTGGACCTAGGACATTACCTTGAGGAACTCCAGCAGTTTTGTAATTGGACTGAGTTGACAAATCCTCAAACAACCAAAGCAATTTTCCTTTTTTCTACGTATGATCTGCCTGATTCTCACAAATCAATTTTTGATCTGCTTTCTTTATCCTATATATTGTCAAATATGGTCTTGGTGTCAAATACCATTACCTTAACCTCACCTCTGTGGTTCAGCTTGTTACCCATGTTTAGACCAAGGAAGTAACGAGGTCAGACACTGAGTAGCTCTGGCAGAACCTGAACTAAGCATCAGTGAGCAGATTATTCCTTTGCAAATAACGTCTGATAGCCTGATTGACGAATTCTTTCATCACTTTGATCAAGAGTAGATTAATGGATGGAAATTGGCTGGATAGTCCTGGTTTTTGTGGACACAATACTTATTCTCCCCATTGTTGGGTAGATTCCAGTATTTCAGCTGTACTGAACTGCCTAACGAGGGATGAATTCAAATTGCACCATCTCCCATGATGGGACCTGAGCCCATGCCCCCAGAACATTAGCTTCGGTTTTTTAATTACCCATCTCTTGACATTAACACTACACCAAACATCCCCATAAATATGCTAAAAATACTCAGCAGATCTGGCAGTCTCTGTGGGGAGAAAAACAGAGTTAACATTTCTGGACTGAGATCTTTCGCCACAGCATTTCTAAACATTTGTTATCATTGATATGACAACCAATCAATAGCTAAATGCTGAAAACATATGGGCACTGCATCATGCAGAATGTGATATCATCCACGTTCTGTCATTACAACCAGCAATTTGAGTGGATTAATGCAAAAAGCTGAAACCTTAACGTGCTTTCAATGCAATAAAGCCAACAATGTTTGGAAACTCCTGCAATAAAACTACCAAGTGCATTTTACATTCAACAAATCCTGGGTTATACATATTTAAATGATGAAAGCACTAATCCACAGATAAGGAATCAGACTTAAGCCAAACAAAGTTTTAATTTTAAACAAACATTCTTCCTCATTTATTCTACAGAACCTTACTTGTAAAGTGTGATGTCTAAAGGGGCTTGTGGTTTAGAGGAAGCCTGTTCCCTCGCCCAATTTCTATCAATACTTTTTGCCTCTTCGTAATCTGCCAAGAACGTGGAGTAGTATCGCTTTGCATCTTGGGGGTGTCTTGCATCCAGGGCATCTTGCAGACTCAGATGGAAAGATACAGGGATGATGGGAAGTATGCTAACATACCTGTAAATGAATAAGCAATATATGAGGTCTGCTTTAACAGTAACACGTAGGTTTGTTCCTTAGCTGTAGCTTTTAACAGTTTGTTGGAATACCCAAAAAAAGGGTAAAACTTACTATATAGCACTAACAACTTAAGAAGTAAACAAAGATGCAGTAAATAAATTTTTTCAGAGATAGTAGGAACTGCAGATGCTGGAGAATCTGAGATAACAAGGTGTAGAGCTGGATGAACACAGCAGGCCGAGCAGCATCAGAGGAGCAGGAA